TTGTTCATTGGTGGATTTAGACATTGTTTCCGTAGGGGAGGGCAGCTGCCTCTTCCCCTCGTTTCCTGGTCTCTGGAAGTGTTTTGAGTGAGGCCCGGACGTTGGAACGAGTGGTGAGGCTTGCGCCTTTGGTAGGGGTGGCGTGGGGCACTTCCCTAATGACTTAAGCTGGCTGGATGTGGCCCCTACTTTCCGGAAGGGAGGGCTTCGGCCTCGACGTGTTGGGGAAGGGGACCGGGAGTGATCCGTGGTATCACTGCCAACATCCAAGGCTGGGGAGGCCCCAGGCAATAACTGGGTAGGTGGAGTACTTGGGGACGTTCTAGATGATAACTGGTTGGGTTGTGTGTGTGGGGAGGGTCCATGCGATAGCTGGGTGTGTTGTGTGTGTGTGGACGTTCCAAATAGTGGCTGGGGGGGTTGCGAATGTGGGGGGAGTCTGGGTGATAACTGGCTGGGTGGTGTGTGTGTGGAGGCACCAGGCGATAACTGGGTGGGTTTACTGTGCGGGGAGGCTCCAGGCGATAACTGGGTGGGTTTACTGTGTGGGGAGGATCCAGGCGATAACTGGGTGGGTTTACTGTGTGGGGAGGATCCAGGCGATAACTGGGTGGGTTTACTGCGTGGGGAGGATCCAGGCGATAATGTGGCGGGAGGCCGTGGCACAGTGGGGGGAGGACAGTCGGGAAGCGGCCGGGACTGGACGTCGTCTAACCCAGGCCGGGGTGGTGTGGGAGGGCCGCAACGGGACTGAAGAGTTCTGATTTTTGTCACCAACTCCAACCTGGCTTGTGGAGGCAGCTTCAGCATGTAGATACCTGCGAACAAAAGAACAAGAAATCACAGATTTCAGACTCAACATGTCTCAAGGGAAGTATCTTGAATTTAATTTAAAATGAAAAACGACAACATTGCCAGTTGAGTACAACATCTTTAAAGTTAAAACTTTTGATCCAACACTGACACTAAACAAGACTATTACTGAGAGGGGTGAAAGAGAATTTACATCAGAGCCCATGATCACCTTTCACTCGACAACTGCGACAGGTGCCGACATCGTCTACCGGATACCTTTGACCCAGTGTTGATGTCACACTACAAAGAAGCCACATGACAAGCTTCACTGGGTCAGTCTACTAAGAAAGACTAGAAGTGTGACTGGTTGAAAGCTCTAGGTGAGAAAACTTCTTTGTGTTGGATCAAAAGTTTTAACTTTAAACATGTAACTACCAAGTTGAACACAGATGAACTCTCATGATAGAGTACAATATTGCCTCTACCTTTCTTTTTTCCCGGCTTCCCAACGATGAGCTTTAAGAAAGATTGGCCGTCCTCCTTGACATTTTGATATTCCGGATCTTCAATGGCAACGTGTGTGATGTCCCAGCGGCCGTGGCTACGCGCTGACCTGTTAGTAAAATGTTGAACTTTATTCCAACACAAAGATTACACAGAGATTACACACAGATAAAATTTTCATCAACCATTGTTGCCTTCCGTGTATAGTTTCATCAGATTGTGCAATGTGAACCAGTCAGAATTGCCTTGAATAAAGACTTGGTTGTGTAAAAAGAGTCTCTTTACTCACTGTTGCCTTCATCAGGATAATTAATGACCAATCACTTAAATACGTAATCTCGCGAGAGTTATGGTTACAGACACATAACCTATTTACACAAGACTTTACAGATCTTATTCACACCATACTTTACGGATACGTGACGTCAGCAATTGATAAAAAGTGCCAGGGAGTTTATATCGCTGATCTGTTGTTGGCCATGTCACTGATCTTGTGCCCTTGGGAAGGCACTTTACACAACTTTCCTCACTTGACTCGAGTAGCTATCTTTGGTTTGGGATGTCCCACAGATAGGACTTTAAATGGTGGTCCCGTGTTTGGGGAGAGCCACACTCCACACGTTAAAGGTGATCATCCAAATACATGTACTAGTACTACTATCTGATGATTCACTAAGGACTCCAGGAAGAGTAGAAATTCACAATAATGGAGAAGAAATTTGCACTAAAGGAGATCTTTAACAAACAAACAACAAACAAACAGTTGTTTCCCGTGCCTGACCTGTTGTTGGCCATGTGGGATGTGAAGCTGAGGGAGACCTCTGTCAGGTTGATGATAAACTCGGGAGGGAGGGGAGGGTCTGGGGATTTCACCGACTGACACATCCAGCGGCCTCCTGGGGAAAAGAAGACAAATTTCATTGTTGGTTATTTTAAGCCCTCCATCAACCATCAGCATAGTCGTTTATGGTAGTGCCCATCTCCGTTTCTTAGCCCTTGGGCCACATGATCGTGCAATACTTTTTCTCACATGCTGAGTCACAGTGCTAGGCAGAGAAAGCAGTACATTATCGTTTTTAAAGTCTTTGGTATGACTCTGCCGGGGATCGAACTCACGACCTACCGAATGCAAGGCGAGCACTCTATCCAATTGGCAGAATTTAATAACAAGCCATCAAGCCACAGTATAGCAGTGCAAGCACATCTAACCCTCGGAAGTCGGGAACGACAGACGCTAAACAGGATAGTGAGTGAGTGAGTTAAGAAGGTACTCACGGTCCCTCATGCACCTCCTGACCTCCTGGTCCCACAGCTCGACACTGTTGGCGTGTCCGGCCGGTTTCTTCCTGGTGCCCCGCCCCTCCTGGAACAGCAGGGTCCCGGTGGTCAGGACCAGCGCCCAGTACCTACAAAACAAACCAGTTCTGTGGTCAAGCTTTGGCAAAAAAAAACAAAAAAACACCGATATCTCTGTGTTACATTGACAAGTAGCCTGAAGTGGGGCACATCACTGCTAAGGCTAAACAGACATTGGAAGTGATTAAGCACAGTCTGTGGGCATGCCCCACTAGAGTAAAATCACTAAGCATACACGTTGCTTGTAAGACCAAACCTTAGAATATGCAGCGACAGTATAGGATCCATATACAACTTTTGCCCATTTCGTATTGAATGGCGTGTTTTCTTGTGTGGGTATGAGTTTTTATGACATAAATAAAATACAACATGATGTATTCGGCATCACCCTTTGTCCCAGCCCTTCCGTCTCCCTCCGGGTGATCCGGTCGGGCTGATACCCAGGGCGATAAGGAATACACCGTGTAGTATTCTATTTCCAGATACAGAAGCTGGTGTGTTATACCAAAAGGCAGTTCTACCAGCTATACTAAAACAGCTACTGACAGTACCTCTCCTCTGCGTGGTCGCGCTTGTTCAGTTTGCCGCACTCGGAGCCGCAGAACGTGTTGGGCTCCAGTGGGAACAGTCGCCACGGCTCCCGAGGGAACCTGTCATAGTACAGGCACAGCCGGTACACTGGGGGGGAGGGGGAAGGAAGGAAGGGAATGAATGAATGAATGAACTAGAAAGTTCAACATTTACAATGCAAATGCAAACTCAGTGCAAGTTATAATGTTTCTTGTCATTCAAAGTTAAACACATTCATGATACAGTGACCAGCCCCTCCAGCTGTCTTGCTACATAATGTAACCCAACACAACACGGTGTCTGCTACAGCACCAGTTACCATGGTGACAGACGTCTGGTCCAGGTCATTGACCTTATTCGTTTGGAGCAAAAGAAGATCTAGAGCATACTGTAAATTCATTAATCTTTGCAGTTTATGTAGTTTTATGTGACTTACCATGTTCTTGTGGAGTAGTGGACAGCTCTACCCAATACTGAAAAGTGAAAAAAAAGGCAATCAGTCTACTTTTATTTACACTTACATCATAACTTTTTTTTTCAAATTACACACCTCATCTTCTTCTATTTTAGCCTGACACTGAAGCATATTTGCTAGGCCACGCCATTCAGTTTGTTGACTTTTGGATTTAAAAAGTAATTCTTTACATACAGTACCATAAATTAATGTTAGTGAAGTTATAAAATCATATCTGTTAAAGTTATTCTGTTTAAATAAATTTGAAGGCTACTATGAAATTGTGTTTAGTTGATGGCTTTTATTTTAATAGCACTCATCCTATATCAGAACATGATAAAATCCTACCAGTACTTATAATTACATATTGGAGTATGGAATATATGATTACAGAATTCTACTATATACCTTACTAAATTGATATTACTTTACATCATCAAAGTTATAATCTTCAATAATTTTCGATTTCAAAACAAAATGTTTAAACCTAACCTCGAGCCCCCTGCTACCTAATATAACCCCAATACCAAAGAATTGGTAGCCAAATGGCTCCTTCATTGTGCTAAAGGTTAATAATTGTTTGCTTCAAGCACACAATTGCAACCTGTATACTACGTACTAGGAAAAGATAAGATTAGCCTGAATAATATTTACAGAAGATCAGTAGACAGAAAAACACAGGATACTGTTTGGTGTAAAAAATGTGAAGAATGTACCCCCAGGGGACCAGGAAGAGATCTTAGGTCTTCTTTTGTTTGTTTGTTTGAATTAGGTTCTCCATTAGTGTGAATTTAACATAACTCTTCCTGAGTCTGTACTGAATAATCAGATTATTAATAATTATAAGTATTTGGACCATCGCACACCGGGACATGCCCCTACTCTTTTTAAAAGGTGCGGTGGGTTCTTAAACGTGCTTGGGGTGTGACTTTCCCCTAACACAGGTACTAGCTCCATCCAAAGTGTGCTTTATATTCTCACAAGTGTGCTTTGTTGCAGAATAATGGACACCCTGGAGCAATTTACCATTATGCAGGGGTGTGGACTCTTTTTGCTGACATTTGTAGCACGTTTCCTTGTTGAATAGAAATGTTTACAGTGTCATCAACCAATTTATTTAGCATTAATACATAGTCCTATCCGAGGGATGTCCCTCAAAGCTAGGTGCTCATTTTCACCTGTCAGTGAGTGAAGTGAGGAAAGTCGTGTAATATATAAAGTGCCTTTCCAAAGGCCACACTTCTAAAGATCGTGGACACTTGGTAGGATTTGAACCCGGAACCTCTCGGTTCAAGGCTGAACACGCTACACCACACGACCCCACAGGTCAATTTACTTAGTTGCAGAGATAACATATTTCGAACACCAACATGCCCACCTGCCCTGTCCAAACAACATCCTGAATTGTTATTATATATATAATTTACAGGGTAAACATAATAAACCGATTACAGTGACTCAGCATGTATATTTGTGAGTGCAGTTATAAAATAACAATGTGCTCTTAACAGCATTATGCCATATAAATCTCGTATTATGGTCTGTAAATCAAAGACAGAGTAAGAATAAGAGTGGATATAAATAATAATAAGACATTTGGAAGTATTAAGTAGCCTGGTTACCAAACCTATTATAGCTCCCGAGTCCTACATCCTCTTCGCAAATTTGTGGAGAGGATGTACTAGGACTAGTATAATAGGTTTGGTAACCATGAGGCTAAGTATTGAATTCTATTGATTGTAAACTTACAGGTATCTTGATTGTGCATAATTATATCACATAGTTTTAATAATTTGAATTTCATCTTTTGAAGTTGCTACCCTCCTTGCACCATTTTCCACCAAATGTCATGTCCCCCCCCCTCTTCCCTTCCTTTCCTAGTATTAGACTTTGAACCAGGATGTTTTGGTGAGCTGTACTAGAGTAATTGAATTTAAGTGTAACTGTGGAGCAAACGAAAACTTTACACAGCCTGCTTTACACTCTGTTACAACTAACTTTACCCCCCCCACAATGCAAGGATTTTTTCACAGCATAGGTAGGGGTCAGGCACAGAAGAGCAAGTCGTTTTATGGAAATAAAGGTTGAAAGGTTTGGTTGAAATGTTTATTCATCAAAACACATGGCAGCCATAGTGATACATGTAGGCTGAATTGCGTGTTTTACAACAATGACAGATTTAAAAATACAATTAAAAGTACATGCTTGACCATATTAAATGTAATTAGTAGTAAGTCGTGCATTAAGCCGAAAAAATTTTGGAACTCAGACATAGCACCCAGAGAGAGGGACAGATTTTGTGAAGTTTTAGGTTTTTTCCCTTTGCTATAGCTCCATTTTAAAGTTATATCTATAAATGTAAGATGTGTTCATATTTTTACCCACAACGTTTGTTTGCTTTGTCTGCCGAGGTTGACGGACTGGTTTTAAGAAAGTCCTGTCACACCCTACAAAGTTTTGGTAACTGCGGGAAAACTGGTGCTGGTGACTGTCCTGTAGGCTAGTGCAGTGTTCTGTGACCTTCACCTAGCTTAGTGACCTTGAGTTTAGGGCACCTGACCAGAACACTGATTGATCGACTGTTGTGTTTATAACGAGTACCAAAACCAAATCTGTCAGGTGAACTTTTGTTTTTTTTAAGTTAATATAATAATAGACTTAGATTTGTGAAAAATTAACTTTATGGATCCGATGAAATTTACATTGATGTCGTCCTGTTTGCTCCCAAATCAATCCATTAATCAATCAATCAATCAATCAATCAATCAAAGTTGATCTGCAACCTCCAACACACTGTTAGAAATTGGACTTGCCCAAATTTTTTAAGTCGTACAACTCCAGTGCTCATTCCTGGACAAAGACTGGAGTTGTACAGTCAAAAATTTGGCCAAGTCCAATCTCTTGTGTTGGAAATTGCAGTTT